ATCCTGGTGGAGAATAGATCTCGTGAGCGTAAAAGAGTGGGGCGTGCGCGAGAGAGATGGGAAAAAGAGAGAGAGATGAGAAGAGAGAGAGAGAGAAGAGAGACGAGAATAGAGGAGAGAGTAAAGGAAGGGAAATAGATAGAGAGAGAGAGAGTGTGTGTGAGAGAGCAAGAGCGAGAAAGAGAGAGACAGAGAGAGACGATAGAGAAAACGCGCGAAGAAGAGAGAGAGAGAGAAGAGAAAACGGCGAGAGAGAGAGAGTTGTTGTGTGTGAATGCGAGAGAAGAGAGAAGAGAGAGAGAGAAGACACGAGAGACAGAGAGAGTAGAGAGAAGAGAGAGAGAGAGAAGAGAGCAGAGAAGAGAGAAGAGAGAAGAGAAGAGAGAGAAACGAGAGAGAGAGTGAGAGCGAGAGAAAGAGAAGAGAGAGAGAGAGGAGAGAGAGGAGAAAGAGAGAGAGAGAGAGAGAGAGAGAGATAGATAGATAGATAGAGAGATGTACGGCAGAGCGACGTACCGAGTCTCCCACTCACGAATACGTTCTTCTCATCTTCTAGGCGTTACGACCCGAGCATTGATCCGCGCCACCAGCAGCACCAGCAGCACCAGCAGCAGCATCATCACCTGCCAGCAGCGTCCTCACCCGGCGGTGCCGCTCGAGCATCTCCGCAGCCTCCTCATCCTCGGCGGCAGCAGCGGCGTCCGTCATTGATCGCTTCGTGCGCGTCTGCGTCGCTAGCATCCACGCGGGCACGTGCGTGGCGGCGTGCCCGGCCTGCGCGCACCGCTCTCTCTCCTCCTCCTCCTCCTCCTCCTCCTCTGCCTCCTCCCTCTGCGCGGCATCGCCACGCGAGATGCCGTTCTTCGACAAGGTGAGCAAGCAGGTGGCGAAAGCGGCTAAGACGCAAGCAGCAAGCGGTGGGTCCTCCTCAGCCCAGCAGCAGCAGCAGACGAAGGCGGCCGCGTCACCCGCACGCGGCATGGGCAACGGCGCGTCGTCGGCGGCGTGTTCGACGACGCAACCGCATCTGCAGTCGCCGCAGCTTCCGCAGCAGATCGTCGTCGACGGCGAAACGCTCGAACTGTCGCGCGTCCGCTCGCTCATCCCCGAGCTCCGCGCCGACGTGCGCCGCCAGCGGGACCTGCTCGCGCGCTACGAGACCGAGCGCGTCGAACACCAGACGGCGCTGCGCGAGCGCGACGACGAGGTCGGGCGGCTGCGCGCGGAGGTCGACAAACTGAAGAGCGTCCTCGCTCAGACCGCGCACAAGGAGCGGCCGGACCTGCTGTCGACGATCGACGAGGGCGCCACCGTAGGGGGACCCGATGCGGGGCGGAATAAGAAGCAGGGAGTGTCCGGGGAGAGTTCGGACAAGCAGGCGCGGCAGGCCGTACACATAGAGCTGCGACGCATACAGAAGGAGTTCAGGTGCGTGCGCCATGTTTGTTTGTTTGTCTCGTTTGTTTGTGTTGTTGTTTGTGTGTTGTTCGTTGGGGGTGGTGGTGGTGGTGGTGGTTGTTTGTTGGTGGTGTCGTTGTTGTTGTTGTTGTTGTTGTTGTTGTTGTTGTTGTTGTTGTTGTTGTTGTTGTTGTTGTTGTTGTTGTTGGGGTGGTCCTGCCCCTCCTCCTTCTCGCTTCTCCCCTCTCTCACTCCTTTTTCCCCCGCATCTCT